TTCTACTCCCAGGCATTTTGTGGACAGAGTTCCTAGTTCCGGAGCACCTTCATCTTCCTCTCAAAGAGCAAAGAGGGTTGAGGACACACCAGGCAGGAGTGGGGAGGAGGGACAGACAGGGGTTCTCTTGGGGCAGTGGTTCTGTGCTACCTGTGGGAAAGGACCCGTTTTTAATTTTTTTTTTTTTTTTTTTTTAGTATACGTGCTGCTGAAGTGAGCACCCAGTTTTTAATTTTAATTCCAAATCCATTGTGGGCCAGTATTTTTGTAAAATACAGTGAAAATGAATTACTCTGAAAATGATTATTTTTAAATGACCCCAAAAATACAAGCCTAATTGTTTAACAGATAAAATTGCATTTTAATCAGTATAATCAGAAGAAACACAAGGAAAAAATTGTAAAAACTGTATCCATTAATTGAAAGTGAATATATAGGGACGCCTGGGTGGCTCAGTTAGTTAAGCGGCTGCCTTCAGCCCAGGTCAGGATCCCAGGGTCCTGGGATCGAGTCCCACATCGGGCTCTTTGCTCAGCAGGGAACCTGCTTCTCCCTCTCTCTCCCTCTGCTTGTGCTCTCTCTGTCAAATAAATAAAATCTTAAAAAAAAAAAAAAGAAAGTGAATATATAGGCAGTTAGTAATCACTGTTATATTCATAACTTTATCATTACACAATTATAACTAAATAATAGTTAACAGTTATGAGACAAAGCAATTCCCCCATATCCAATACCTATATGTACTTTGAACAAAAAACATGTATATTATTATTTAAAGTTTTAAATGTGACCAGTAAGTTTGGTTGCTTGTTAACTTATCTAATTCAGGTTGGACAGAGGACAGTGCTATATGTAGGATGATACGGAGCTGAATGACTTCTCTGTTCTTATATATATTTATAGTAGAGAAACTAGAGTCTCGCAGGGCTATGTTGACAGAAATGAAAGAAGATATTTTAAAGTAATCCAGCAAGCTCAGGATATTTATTTTTAATTTTCATCCAAACTAAAAGGAAGTGATGACTTACTCCCCAAAATAGGTCTTCAGATCTTCAGTACTAACAATTTATGATGTCAGAGTTAAATTTTTATACTTTGGGGTAACAGTGGGCAAACTGACCTTCAAATACCCTCCACGAGGACATGGTTTTGTTGTGCGTGACTGGGACGCGGCTTGTTCTGTATGTGGCTCACCGTGCGGGCTTTACACCCAAAGTGCTCTGTGGTCTGTACCATGTTCATTTGAGAGGAGTCTGTTGATCATGTGTTTGGATATCATGTAATGTCAAATTGCTATAAAAACTTACTAGCACAGATCTCCATTTTTGTACTTACCACATCACAGACTGGTAACAGCCCACAGATTGGCGCCAGTCTGTGGGCCACTTTGAGCAGCCCATTTAGTCCCCTAGCAATTTACTGGACGATTCCTTCAACCTTCAGGGACAACGGGTTTCTGCGATGAGTGAAGAACTAGCTGAGATGTTAGCTGAAGGTAACGGGAACATGAAAGGAGTAGGAGACCACCAAAAGTCCTCCCAAATCCAACTCTGACCTTGTTATCTTTTGAAGCAACAAGAACAGCTACCCCTAATCCCTCATTTTGTTGTGTATATGTTTACATATTCCAAACGATACCACTGTTTCTTTCCTTACTTGCCCCGTTCCCCACCCATCTTTCTCTACATCATGTAAAGGTATGGTGGTGGTGAACTTGAAAATTCAGTCCATAAATATGTGGCGCCAGAAAGTAAAGAAGTGCTCAAAAAATGATGGGGATCTGTCAAGAGGACATAGGAACCAACCAAAGGGTCTCCCAGTAACCAAATCTGGGACAACTGAGCAACAAAAAGGACAGTGTTGGATTGTAACACAGAGCCTCAAATATCCGTCAGTTGATGCTGGTATAAATAATGGAATAAATAATGGGGAGAAGGGAAAGCTCTTCTTTACAGAATTCCAATTAATATAGAAGGAATGATAGAAATAAAACATCATTATTTGGCAAAAACCACAGTAATTCTTTCAGGCAAGAATATCAGTAGATGCTAGAACGGGTGAAAGATGAAAAATGAAACGTTAAGTCTTTTAAAAAGATTTTATTTATTTTAGAGAGAAAGCATGAGTGGGGAGGGAGGAGACAGAATCCTCAAGCAGACTCCCTGCTGAGTGTGGAGCCCGAAGTGGGGCTTGATTTCACTACCTAGCTGGGATCATGACCTGAGCTAAAATCAAGAGTTGGGCACTTAACCGACTGAGCCACCCAGGGGTCCCCTTTGTGTGTGTGTGTGTGTGTGTGTGTATATATTTTTTTTTTTTTTTAGGTAAACTCTATGCCCAATGGGGGGCTTGAACTCACAACCCTGAGATCAAGTGTTGCATCTACCGACAGAGCCAACCAGGTACCCCTGAGTAATAGTTCTAATTATAAAAGAAACATAAGTAACTGTATAGGGGAGAAAACTGGCAGATACCACCTTCACCAGTTAATGTCACCAAAAATGAGACCTTGACATCCATATGCCTCCTGATTAGAACACAAAGATGGACACACCACTTCTGTGGTATTCATTTTATTTATTTGAGAGAGAGCACGCGTGAGCAGGGGATGGGCGCACGGAGAGAATCTCAAGCAGACTCTGTGCTGAGTGTGGAGCCCAACGTGGGACTTGATCTCACGACCGTGAGACCATGAATGACCTGAGCCCAAATCGAGTCGGACGCTTAACCTACTGAGTCATGCAGGCGCTCCACTTCTCTGGTATTCTTTCCAAAAACATATAACCTGAATTTCATCATGAGCAAATATCAAACCCAAACGGAAGGACAATTTGTCCATTACACTTCAAAAATAAACTGTCCCAGATCAAAGAAGTCTAGGGAAACATGAGAACTAAATGCATTGTGTGCTCCTGAAGTGGATTCTGGGCTAATAAAAGGCCTTAGTAAGACAGTTGGTGTAATTTAACCAAACTGTTACTGTTGTTTGCAACCGAGAAAACTGGGTAGGACACATCCGTGGTACAACCATGGGTCCAAGCAGAGCTCCTTGAATTTAGCAGTTGTTATATTAAGCATTTGCAAACCTTAGAACATGCTAGTGCACTGAAGGCTCATTTCCACAAACCTGGAGTATTACCATCCCCATGATGTTGATTTAAAACTCTGATTCGGGGGCGCCTGGGTAGCTGTCGGTTAACATCTGCCTTCGGCTCGGGTCATGATCTGGGGGTCCTGGGATTGGGCCTGCCTCAGGCTTCCTGCTCAGCAGGGAGTCTGCTTCTCCCTCTCCTTCTGCCCTCACCCCCACCCCCCTGCTCATGCTCTCAAATAAAATCTTTAAAAAAAACCCAACTGATTCAGAGAGAGTGAGGGATTTGCCCAAGACCGTCCAGTTATTAAATGGTGACATGAAAAAAAAAAAAATAAATAAATAAATGGTGACATGGTGAACTGAATTCATCTGTAGGACTCGAGGCATTTTAATCCTAGTGCGTCTTACTACTGGCCTTCTCCAGCAACTCTGTTGTTCTAAGAAACCATTGCATAGTCATTCTGTCACAAAAAGGCTACAGAGAAACTCTGCCTAAGCCCAAGGTTAGGAGAGGCTTGATGCCACTGCAGGACCCAGTAGGCCTGGTCACTGACCCCAGTTCCTGTGTCCCTTAGAAATTGTTGAACATCTATTAAAAAGTAAGTTCATGGCTTCCACATTATCTGGTACCAATGAGAATGTATTCAGATGACCATTCCTTCAAAACAGGCATAGCCAAAGAGAATAAAAATCAATTCTGTATCATTCCTAATCGAATTAGGCCATAAGCAGTACTTAACACATGTAGAATCTCAGGTATTTTATAAACCAGGAATATTCTACCAATTAGATATAAAGTGATGGGGGTCTTTCAGCTTGTCAGAATAGTCTGTCATGAGTCTAGCTTTCCTGCCTCTCACACAGATCCCGACACTGTGATTTATGTTCCTGAACAGATTAGACTTAAGAGCAAATCATCAGCAACAGGTATCATCATCTTGGCAGAACGTTTAATTAATTGCTTTCTGCCTAACCCAAGGGTGCTGGTGCCATTTACCCTACAAGGACTAGTGCTGTCTTGCGATTCTTTTCTCCCCTAGAACATGGTCTCATCAGTTTTAAGTTACAGACATTAGTTCACTTCATATGTAATCACAGTCTTCTGTGGCAATGTTTATATAAGAAACTTGTGAAAGAAACATGGATTTTTAACTACTCTGTAGCCTTATGGATTCCTGGCTTCCCAAATAGAGGCTCTGTTGGGTTCTGTGAGGGGTTAGTGTTCTGGGGCCAGGCAGCTGAAAACCCCCTGCCCCCCATAAACTTGCCAGGGAGTAGCAGTGGAGAATATGTAAGTGATTTTGGAACAGCGTCTGTGGTCTCTCCTCCCAGTGAAGGTGATGACCAGCTGGAAGGTATCTTGCATTAAGTGGTAGAAGACACAACTAGCTGACTGCATCTTCTCAGACCTGCCAACCTCAGTGTTCTTTAGAAAGGATTTGATGATCTTTCTAAAGAGGCACAGAAACGGCTCATACTAAACCCAAGCAGGGTTCCCAGGGGCAGGGCAGCACAACTCTCAGACTGATTTTGCTACATAATCATGAAATTTAAAATTCTAATAAGTCTTTAAAATTATAACCTTTAAGACTTTCCCTTAGATAGTCCTTATTTTGACCAATTACTTACTCATCTTTTAAATACTATAGGGAAATTTAAGCTTTTCCTACCTAAAGTCTAGTGTGAATTAACCACATATTCTGTATAAATTCAATAACAAGAATGGTAATTAAAATGTCTTCCTTGTCTTGATACTGAATCTCAGGAGGCAGTGAGAATAAACAAATGTAAAAAAAAAAAAAAAGCACGAAACCGTTTGTTTAACAGCCAATTCTGATTAAATAGAACCCTGTTTAGTTAGGATTTTACAATATAAAATAGATTTAGTATTGAAATGACACAAATGTGGAATCAGTAGTAACTTTATTTGTCACTTTATAATAAAGACATTGGTCCACTTCCACATGAAAAGTAGGGAGCATCTACTTCCACTTAATATTCTAGAGAATGACGTTGTACCACAAACCATTAATAGTAACTTACACAGGGAGGAAAGTTGACTATAAAATAGTCAAGCCCCAAGATGTCCGCCCCCCCCAAAATTGGTTTTTGGGTGTGTAATTACAGATATCTATTAACTCCACAAAGCGAGTTTCTTTTTAGATCAATGTAGTATTTTTAATATCCACCTGGTGATCTGGATCACCAAACTTTCAGAAGAGGTTAAAAAACAGCCACCCTCTGTCAGTCAGATGCAGTTCTCAATCTCAGTCACTGTAAGTACTCCCAAATAGCCCACTTTGGGCTATTTGAAGTTAAATACCTTCTGTTTCAGAGATTTACATCAAATTAAGACATTTACAAACGGTTCCTGGTATAGAACAGCCCAAATGTCATTTTCACCTGTTCCTGTGTAAGGAAGTTAAGCACTCCTAAGTTTGTCTAATAAATTCAATGCATTTTCCCCAACATAAATAACACAAGTTATTCTAAATGTTTTACATTTATTTCAGTGCACATTTCCAAATGTTAATTGGAATGAAATTATAGTAAATGGAATCTACAACACACAAATCAATTCACATCAATACTATAATTCACTCTAAAAGAACATCACAGGCACACGGAGAACAAAATTTGCTTTTTTTTTTTTTATAAATTTAAAGTGTACCATCTACTTTTAAACTACACTAAAAGATTTAACAAAACAGCCAATTTCCAAACCCCTTTTCTAAGTTTGGCATGAGGAGAGTTCAATCCATTCGAATCTTCTGGTTTGTCATCCTGTAAATAATGCTGTCATATCCAGGATCCATGTTCCAGATATTATAAGAGGTGATAATCACGGCCAAGGACAAGGCGATCATTATCCAAAGTACCATGTTGAAAACCACTGGATACTCAAGGTTATACTTATATGCGAGGTTATAGGGGCTTGATGGGTTCTTCTACAACGAAGAAAAGAGGGAAGAATTTTAAGATCAGAAATTATCCCCATTTGGTAGCTCTAATTCGTTTATCAAACATTTATTCCTAGGTGGCATTAAGACATGCTTCTCCTAGGAGGAGCCAAGAAGAGGAGCCTTCCAGGAAAAGGGGAAGCACACGGTCATTGGAAGTATAAACCAGTCCAACTGCTTGAGAAAATGTGGCAACACCAGTATGGTCAAAGATCCAGCGAGTCCACACCCCAGGGAAACCTTGTGTGTGTGTGTACCCAGAGCCACGCACAGCGACCTACGTTAACAGCACGGACAATGTGGCACGTCCACACAATGGGAGCCCTGGCAGTGAGGATGGACCTACGGCCTGTGTGCCTCTGAAACAAGACTGGGCAGCAAACAACACAGAAAAATGCATTCCATTCACATACAATTCCAGTGCAGGCAAAACCAAACACCAGTGTTTAAGGATGAATCCATTCTGCGGTCAAGCTGTAAAGAAATCAAGGGCATGACTAACGAATCGGGACAGCAGTTCCCTGCGGATGGCAAGGGCACAGGGGTAAGACCGGGAGCTCAGAGGAACAAGTACTGTGCTCCCTTCCCCACGTTATACACTTATGTGTGCTCTACTTAGGAAAACCGTTCATTCAACCCCATCTTCATCCTGCCGGGCCTTGGTGCAGGTGGAGTCTATTCCAGGCCCAGGCAAAGGCACTGTCTTCTTCTCAAACAAAGCGAGGAGGAAAGGAAGCTACGGGCAACCTGGCCTTGAGCCTACGGGCAAGGAGAAGCCGTGGACAGGTTTCAAGCAGGAAGCGAGTGACAGGATCAGGTTTGTCCTAAAAGGACACAGAAGACGATGTAGCCCCAGCACCTGGCATGTTGTAGGCACTCGGATGTTTCCTTCAACTCACTCTCCCTCAGACTGAAGAGGGATTTCAGTGGGGGAGAGGGTGGGTATTCCCACGTGCAGGGAGCTTAGGAGGCAAACGCGAAAGGATTTCCCCCTTGAAGACCTCTTTCTTTCGGGGGGTAAGTGGGTTCTTTCTCCCTGCGCACCACTCCCCGCACGTTAGTATATTCCCAGAGCTGCATAGTCTAGCTGTAGAACATTCCCATTCCCCTACTAAGACCCTCAAGCTGAACGCCTCGTTGCCCGGGGGAATGGGGAGCCCGTCCAGAGCCGAGAGGCAGGACGGTATTCCCGAGGATGCGGGGCACCAGCCTCCCATCTCCCAGTGCTTTAGTCTATTAGAATGAACCAATACGACACTGTAATTTTCAGATTACATATGTAAAATGTTAACTCAGTTCGAGTTCCTCTTGCTCCTTAGGAATGTCTGTCTTGAAAGCTAAACTATGCACTCAAAAGCTGTTTATATTTTATCAGTACTTCTAGACGCTCTGTAGTGGGAAAATTTTGGGGATTGTCTAGCCTGCCATGTGGTCTTAAATACAGGTCCTCCCACTCCCATTAGAATGAAACCATCTCAAACCAGCCACGTCTAGATTATCTCGGGCAGGCCTTCCACCTCTGTCCCACACGGAGATCAATAAATGGGTCCAAAGGGCAGTGTCTATAAATGACTGGGTAGCAACTATAACTAAGGTTCTTGGCCACAACTATAGGACCCTCTAAATGCTTAAAATCAAAGCAAGATCCAGGCCAAAACCTTGTAAATCAAATTCTCAGGACTATAAACAGCAGATCCTGGAAAATGAGGGACTGGGCCACACAGACAACATACCTCCAGGAAAAGCAGACTCCAGGTGCTGAATCCTACATCCTACTCCCTCACATTAACTTCTGAGGTCTGCTTGTAAGAGCAGTATTTGAATGATCTCACTCAAATTCTTGTATCATCTGATCACAAGCAGAATGAGCATCACTGGCAAAACACACATGCCTACATGGGTAAGCAATCTCAGTTTTCACTGAAATTGTTTCCCAGATTGACCGACCGCTCGTCCATGTCACCCACAGGTGATCGAGGATTTAGTGGTTTTTTTTAATTTTACAGTTTTAAAGCAGGGTCTAAAACCGTACTCACCTCTTGTTTTGCCTCAAGAATAGTCCTTGTCTTCCTGATGAGAGATGTGTCAAATGACCGCACGGTCACTAACTCCACCACTGCATTCCCGCCATAAAGGTTGTACATGTCATCTGCGAACTGAAGACTTACTGGTATTACTATTGCGGACATGCACTTACTCAAATGTTAAAGCTGTGCACCTAGGAGAACATACACTCGCCTACTGGCTAATGAAATACGCTGTCTTAAAGGTTTGATTATGTCAAAATATTCAGAAGAATGTTCATCTTCAACATATTCAAATGTTCAAAATAGAATTAAGAGATAAGCTGTTGGCATGTAAACTGGGGGAAGGGAAGTAGAAGAGGGAAATGAAAATTTTCCTAAGTGGTCTCTGATTAATCACGAACACCTATAAAATTTAACTCACTGAAGAGCTGCAGGTGAGCAACTCCAAGGGCAGAGAGAAACGCGCACTTATTACGTGTCTATTCAATGTCTGGTACTGTGCTCAGTGTTTTCCTCCCATGATTTCATAGGGTTGATGGGGACAGTTTCGGGTAGGAAAGAAGAAAGTTCTGGCAATGGATGGTGGTGACAGTTGCACAACAATGTAAATGTACCTAATGCTACAGAACTGTACACTTAAAAATGGTTAAAATGGTAAATTTTACGTATATTTCACCACAATTAAAAGAAAAAAGTATAGTGCTGGAGTTACTGATCATTTCCCCTGCCGTCTGCCAGCATGAGAGACATCCCAACGCACACCTGTGACCCACTCCACCCTTTGTCACTAAAATTAGAGGTCCTCCAAAGAAGGGGAGATTTCCATCAACAGTATTTCACTAAATAGATTTTTCCATTACGAAGCTAAAAGTGAAATCGTCATACTCTAACTTCTCATACCCCATTGACAATTTACCTTTTGCAGAGCATCAACAAGGATCTTGGAAGCATCTCTGAATTGTTCAGAATCTTCCCCATAATGTTTCCCAATTTCATCTAAACCTGCCAGCTCCAGCGAATATAAATCAGGAGAATGATCCTTGGCTAGATGCTTATGTCGAGACAACTGAGAAGAATGAACGAACGAACAAAAGGAAGTGCGTAATGTCAGACGCAGCCACTTCAAGTTTTATACGTAACTAGGCTGAAAGGGCCATACCAGCGTGCCACAAGATACAGTTTAAAACGGTGGCAAACAGAACTAGTTGAAATGGGAGTTTCTGATAAACCCAGCACAAATCTCATTTTTAAGAGCAATTATAAGACTCCTTGAATATTTAATAAAAGCTCCTAAAAAACAACAACAACAAACTCCTTAGTTAAAAAACCTCAGATACAAGGGGCGCCTGGCTGGCTCAGTTGGTAGAACATGTGACCCTTAATATCAGGGTCAGGAGTTCGAGCCCCACACTGGGCCTACATATAGCTTAAAGAAACAAACCAACAGAACACCCTCAGATATGGGCCAGGGTATGAAAGAACAGATAGCTGGACCAGTTCGATCCCAGGAGAGCATGAGCCATCAGTGCTCAGAGAGCAGCTAGCTCCCCACGGGTCCTCCTAGAGCACCTGGCTGGCCCCCAGCAATACACCTCTAGACTCCCCCAAACCAACCTGCTGAAAGCTTCGGGCAACAACTTCAGAAAACAGCATACAGGTAAGCTTTCTTATTTTAGTCAAAGGAGGAGTGTTTTTTTGTTTTTTTTTTTAAATCACTCACACAAAATACACTGCAGGTATATTTATTTCCTTCCTGACCTGATTGACAGCATTATTAGTCCAAACTTATTTCTAAATTTTTTTCGTTTGTTGGTTTTTTTTTTTTAAGATTTTATTTATCTGACAGAGAGAGACGGAACACAAGCAGGGGGAGCGGAAGAGGGAGAAGCAGGCTCCCCGTGGAGCAGGGAGCCCGACGTGGGGCTCGATCCCAGGACCCTGGGATCATGACCTGAGCTGAAGGCAGTCGCTTAACCAACTGAGCCACCCAGGCGCCCTGTTATTTCTATTTTAGACCCAAAGATAAGATCTAGGAATTAGGTCTTAACGTCTTTCAAGAAATCAACAGCCAAGTCAGGACTCCAGTGAGGGCGGCCTTACTCCCAGACCTGTGCCCTTGAGGACATGCAAAATAATTTCACTGTAACAAGAGAGGAGTTCACAATTCCCATCACCACCACTAATTTCTCAGCTTTCGTGGTACGTAAATCTAGGGCATAAACAAACTTTAAGTGGTCTCCCTATCATTTCAGGATTCTCGGGAAATGTCTTTTGGAACCAAAATAAATGAAACAAATACCAGAGTAGCCGACTTACCAAACTTGAAATATCACGTAGCACTTGCAATTCAGAAAGAAAGAGCAGATCAACCTGCAAAGGGCCAAAAGCAGTATTATTTTAAATATGCATCCAAGATCTGTATTTGCCATTTACCAAGCAAGGCACAGGACAGGATATTACAAATGTTAAGCCCAGTAAGTGATTTTATGCAACAGCTGTCCTCTATTTGGTAGGTTCATCTCAATTGAAAATGCACATAAAAACACTTCCTAATAAAAAGGTGATGGTCATTCCCAGCACAGTGAGGACCACTCAATAGCTAGATCTTTGATAAAGGTATGACAAAGCACCCAAACTCTCAAGTGGTTTTCCCTCAGGGCATCCCAGTCTCTGACACACTGCAGCGAGGACCTGCCAGTGGCCCAGCCTGCTCACATTCCTTGAACATGTTCCACATCAGAGAAGAAAAGATGGCGGTTCTGGTCATCCACAGGTCAGGAAGAGAGGCCGCCACAAAGGTGGCATGCCACGTGGGGAAGATAGTGGTGAAGGTGACAGGAGTCAAAAGCAAGAGGGCCTCCCTCCACTACACTGTTGAGAATGAACCAGAAAGAGGCGGCAACGCATCAGAGATGGCAGTGAATAATGGCCTCTACATAACCAGACCAACACAGCTCCGCCAGCCAAGTAGTCTGTGTGACTCTTGGCCTGTCCGCCTTAACTGGTGGCAGCCCCTGCACGAGAATGTAATACTATTTATTCAAGTCACACAAAAAAAGTCTATTTGTTCATGAGATTCATTTAAAAATTACACTAAAGAATCTACTCCAGCACAGTAAACCTGTAAAACCTGTCATTTCCTGAAATTCCAAGTCTGCTCTAAAGTCAGGGAGCATAAGACCTGGAAAATTAGTAATGATATTCATGTATTCATTCAATGACGGCACTTCTTACTTCATTGTTCCTACTCAGAGAATTGAGGGGAAGTGAATTGAGAACAGAGTTTTCCTGGAACAGGCGACTGCGGAGCTGTCGTAACGTTACGGAGAGATCTTCAAACACCGAGTTCGCCTTCCCCACCATATACACTCTCTGCAAGAAGATCCGAAATTTTGTTACAGCCTGCAGATTAATTCCAATATACGCAGTACATATGAAATACACGTACGTACTATAATATAGGGAGAGTATATACAATTTTTCATAAAAGTGGTTTTAAATTTTCATTAAGGAAAGCTTATTTTTTTTTT